AATAATGACAGTAAGTAGCGAAAACCTTGAAATAACTCCGAAAAAACTTTTGAATTGTATTATCTATGACACTGGGGTGGAGATGCTGTAGTAACAAGTGGCGCCGCTAATCCTACGTGCTCCGGACTTCCAAAGTATACTCGAAATCCCTGAGATCGGGTAGGCGTGGCTGCGTACTTGATTTAAAATGGCGGCGGCCCAGGTTTTCGTGAGATATTGTCATTTTGGAGCAGTCGTAATCATGTCTACATCTAACACAGAACAAGATAGCAGTTGTTTCAAATTGAAGTATCCCACGAGAAACCCGTCCTATGCCATGCTCAAAAGCCACGCCTACTCCGTCTCAGGGATAAGGAGTGTATGTTCTAAGGAGGGCTAGTGCAGATTTGGCTTTAGCTCTGTCAACTGTCCCACGAAGCCTAAAACTAAAGCACTTCTTGAGATTCAAGAATTTTCTGGCATTCTGGGCTCAAGTCCAGGCATCAATTACCCATGCACTGTAGCCTGTTTTGCTATTGAGTAATTTTGAATTTCAGGACAAGGCATGGTTAACTAACAAGTTGAATGATTCAGTAAGATGCTGCAAGGAGAAAGGATGCAATCTGATGGTAGTTTTTTGAACTGCTCCAAAAAATTGCTTCAAAGTTAACGTGGATACTGGCTTGCTATTCTTATTTGATAAGCTTTAAGCACTGTTTCCCACGGGCCACATATATATTACGACGAGAATTTTCACATTTTCATACCATCCTTGTATTGGGTACGTCCATGCTCGGATACATCTGTCTGTTACGCTTCCGCCTTCTTCCCCTTTACCCCTTCAACTTTAGGTGTTACTCATAGTCAGAAAGGGCGAATTTCACAATGGGTAGACGGTCATGGTAACTGCTATTTCGCTAGCTACCTGAAGCTATCACGTTGTGGGCAGAAGGCTCGACATCAGCCAGAACATGGACCACGTCTACTCACGGCCATAGAGCTAGTCGTGCATCAGAACCTTTCCTCCTCATGTTAATGGGTTTCCCACAGCCTAAACTGAGCTATTTCACAAGGGAAGGATACCAACTCGCCATGGCCATTCAGAATGAGATGTATACTCCTAGAAGCGTCTTCGGACGCTGATATCAGATCTGACTTCCAAATCTGCTAAACGATTCTGGGTGAGAAGTTACGGACCTTTTTTTTACTGTGCTTAACCACTGCGGTGCGCTGTTATTCGCTAAACGCCCAATAGCAGTCGCTGTGAGGCGGACTGAATTCGGCCAGCGTCTATAGTTTGCGATTCAGTCGCGCCCCAGAGCGATAGGAGGTCAGGAGATCCAGATTGTGATGACACGCAAAATTTGCTAAATCCCACCTTGTTGACTCAGTTAGCCGTTGTATCAGATCATTTAGGCCGCGGTGCAAATGCCGCATACGCCAACAACTATTTCTAGAGACTATTTTACATTGCCTCAAGGCCTCATTATGAGAAAACTAACTCTCAATTAAGGTTTTCTCGGTAACTGAGGCCCTAGTCTCCTTTTAAGGCTTACGACTTTCTGCGTTCTCTGCCTCGTTGGGAGCCGCAAAATGATTTCGAATGTGAAAAATGCAACCAGTGTGAAGAAGGCGGCACGCCGGGAATGGAGACCACTCCGCTGGGCAGTACTACAGAATCCGATGCTGTAGAAGGTTCTGCGACGGATAGCAACACCACCACCACCACCACCACATCCGAGATAAACTCCACTGTCCAAGACAGTGGCTGAGATACCGTTCGGAAGCTTTATTTTTTCTACTTTTGTTCTTATGACATTGAAAGAGTAAAGGATTCCACACTGTTTACTTTTTGATTACGGTTACTGTACTCCGTATTTCTGGTTTTTTTGAGCGACAAGTGACAAGGGTCGCATTAATCAAACAAGACCTGGAATGAGCACAACGGGTAATCATCAGTGATAGCGCTTTCGCATCATTTTAGTTTCGGTCGATGCTCCAGATTTAGCAAGGTTAAGCGGCTAATGACCGGATAAACAACGTTGGTCGCTATGTAAAGGGAGCAGAATCGGGGGTATAAAAAGACAGAACAACTACCAAACAACAGCACAATGTTCGAAGAGAAACTCATCGTTGGTGTGGCTTCGGCCTTCTCCATCCTGGCCATCGTTGCCTGCCTGATCGTGGTTCCATCGCTCTACAATACCATCAACGAGATTCACGATGAGGTCCTCGAAACTGTTCTGTGTTCCGCGTCGAGACTGACTCTGCTTGGACCCAAATGATGGACTTCCAAGTCACAGTCGCACCACCGTCAAAGCCTCGTGAGAATCCATTCGGCTCCATCTTCCGATCGAAGAGACAGGCCGGTCTTCCTTCTTACTGCCAGTGCACGACTCCAACGGTCACTGCCCACCTGGACCTCCTGGACCTCCCGGACAACCTGGAGCGCCTGGTAAGCTAACATTTAACTGCTTTCTTAATGTTCACACTAAAGCCACAATTTTCAGGACAGCCCGGATCACCTGGCCAACCTGGTAACGACGTCACTACCACCTACGCCCCATCAACTGCCCACCTCCCAACACCGGCTTGTGTTCAGTGCCCAGCTGGTCCTCCAGGACCACCCGGACCGAGTGGAGCTCCTGGAAACAAGTGGACCTAATGGCAACCCAGGACGTCCTGGAGGTCCCGGAAATGATGGTGGTCCAGGTCCAGCTGGACCTCCCGGAGACAGAGGAGCACCAGGAAACCCTGGATCTCCTGGACAGCCTGGACAGCCTGGAAGACCTGGTACAACTGGAAGAGGAACTCCTGGACTTCCAGGACCTGCTGGACCAACTGGAGCTCCAGGAAAGAGCTGGAGGACGCGGAAATGATGGTGCACCAGGAAGACCAGGAGGACCTGGTCCAGCTGGTCAGCCAGGAGGACCAGGAAACCCTGGAAGAGATGGTCAGCCTGGAAGAACTGGAAATCCTGCTGCTCCAGGAGAAGATGCTAATTACTGTCCTTGCCCATCTCGCATCCCATCATACTCCGCATCCGCCGTCGCCGCTGCTCGCCTCGCTCGCTCTGTCTGATCTTCTGCATTTCAATAAAGATTTCACATTTCTCTTGTTGTTTTGAGGTGGTCTATAGGGATAATACGAAAATTGAAATACTGTAAGCACAGGGGTGTGAGTGAGCGTGAAACGTGCCGGTTTCAAGACTACTGTATTGAAACTACACCATCATTATTATGGTCTATGCAGCACGGCTTTACGGACCACTGAATCGAGCGAGCAGCCCTTCTACAAGGTTCAAGTTAACCTTTTCCTGCTTTGAAGTACTTCGTAAGATCTACCTCAAAACGTATCTGGTAGGCGTTGTCTCTCAGATCAAGGAGCGATTTTTTGAAACTTTCCCACCACTTCGTAGCAATACGGAGCACAGCGAAGTGGGATTATTTCACCTGATCGCTTGAAATAGTGCTGAGGGGAAGGGACTGGATATATTCCCCAAGAAAAGCAATTTGAAGCACTTCATCGCACTGTGCGCTACTTGTAACATTGACCAGGAGTATCCACAACTAGTGAAGTCTTTTCTATTATATGTCACGAAAAAAACTTTGGTATCGTGCGGAAATGAAAACATTGTTTACTATTTTTGGCAGTGCGTTACGCGACTACTTGAACTTTCGTGGATGGTCCTATTGCGAAACTCCGTAGCGTAGACAAGTAAGAGTTCTCAGAGATCTAGAGGTGCAGCGAAGGAAAATCAATCCCCTAGGAGTGCACGATGATCACATCGAACAACAAAGAACTCCGCCCTTCTAAGCAAGCCTTGTATGGTATTTTTTTCAATTGGAAATGTTCTCTAGGCATCCCAGCGATGCCTATCATGCCCACACATACACCCACCCACACTGGCCACAAATGGTCGCACTGATCAGCATTCGACCAATATCGTATCAGCTGTTTCCACTTGCGGTCTGCTGTTGAATGGAGCTCTTGTGCATTCTTCGGGATTCCTTCTAAAGATGTGAGCTCTTATGGAAACGGAAATATCTTCTTTGGAAGAGTGCAAGGTATTCAAGTGGTTATACAAGTGCAAAAGCTCGTTTTGGAGTTGGAGTGAAGTCCTGCTTTTTCTTTTCCACTTGGTCCCCGCGAATCTCCGATGGCCGTTTCGCGAAAGTGTCAATAGTAGTTCCCTGCTTCTGTTAAAGGCAGTTGGCACGATAATTTGGTACTCAGCCTAAAATGCTAGCAGGGCGCTATATAGTGGGGAAAATGGCGAAAAAACGAAGTGAAACGGTCAAAAACCTGCGAAGAAAAGCCTTCGTTCTCATGACTCAAAAAGCAATTTCGGACGAGTTTCCCGTAGGCATCTTGCCAATAACCGCTACGGTAGGTACGGCTGCACGTATGTACTCATATATCCATGCAGCACCGCGGCCGCTTCATATCAATCCCTTCGCTTCATATTTTACTTAGCAAATGAAGCAATACGAGCATCAGGAACGGTCGTCCATTTGTGGGCGGGCGGGCGTTCGGGTCGGAATGTTGTAGCTTGATAGGGCCCTTATAAGGGGAACCTCCTTTGAAAAGGCGCTACGCAGTGCCTGCTCAGGGTCGCGGAATTCCGTCCTGCCAGGCGTATTAATCCTACTCGTTTTAGGGACTTACCGTACCAAGCTGCCTTTAAGGATCCCTGGTGATACTGTCCTAAAGTTTTCTACCGAAGCAAAGTTCTTATAATTTGTTTGCATTTTCTCTTAGTTTCTTACATTGATCAGCGAAGATTCATCTGTTGCTTAGGCTCGT